TTGAACTCGATGCAACAATAAAGCCGCTGCTGCTTGAACTTGGTAAGACACTAGAGCTGCTGCTACTTGAGGTAAGTGAGGCAGTAGAGCTGCTGCTACTTGAACTCTGTGCAACAGTGAAACTGCTGCTACTTGAGCTCTGTGCAACAGTAGAGCTGCTGCTACTTGTACTCGGCACAAAACTAAAACTGCTGTTACTTGAGCTCAGTGCAAGAGTAGAGCTGCTGCTACTTGAACTCGCTATGATACTAGAGTTGCTGCTGCTTGATATTTGTGAGACAGTGGAGCTACTGCTACTTGAACTCAGTGAAACAATGGAGCTACTTGAGGAGAAACTAAAGCTGCTGCCATTTGAACTCGATGCAACAATAAAGCCGCTGCTGCTTGAACTTGGTAAGACACTAGAGCTGCTGCTACTTGAGATAAGTGAGGCACTAGAGCTGCTGCTACTTGAACTCGGTGAAACAATTGGGCTACTTGATGAGAAACTAAACCTGCTGCCACTTGAACTCGATGCAACAATAAAGCCGCTGCTGGTTGAACTTGGTAAGACACTAGAGCTGCTGCTACTTGAGGTAAGTGAGGCAGTAGAGCTGCTGCTACTTGAACTCTGTGCAACGGTGAAACTGCTGCTACTTGAGCTCTGTGCAACAGTAGAGCTGCTGCCTCTTGTACTCGGCACAAAACTAAAACTGCTGTTACTTGAGCGCAGTGCAAGAGTAGAGCTGCTGCTACTTGAACTCGCTATGATACTAGAGTTGCTGCTGCTTGATATTTGTGAGACAGTGGAGCTACTGCTACTTGAACTCAGTGAAACAATGGAGCTACTTGAGGAGAAACTAAAGCTGCTGCCACTTGAACTCGGTGCAAGAGTAAAACCGCTGCTGCTTGAACTTGGTAAGACACCAGAGCTGCCGCTACTTGGAGATAGTGAGCCAGGAGAGCTACTGCTACTTAAACTTGGTATAACACTAGAGCTGCCGCTACTTGACATGAGTGAGACAGTGTAGCTGTTGCTACTTGAACTCGGTGCAATAATAGAGCTACTGCTACCTGACATTAGTGATACAGTGGAGCTGCTGTTATGTAAGCTTACTGCAAAAGGAGAGCTGCTGGTTCTTGAACTTGGTAAGACACTAGAGCTGCTGCTACTTGACATTAGTGAGACAGTTGAGCTGGTGCTACCTAAGCTTCGTGCAACATCAAGGCTACTTGACGAGAGGCTAAAGTTGCTACCACTTGAACTCGGTGCAACAATGAAACTTCTGCTATTTGAACTGAGTGCAATGGGAGAGCTGCTGCTACTTGAACTTGGTATGCCACTAGAGCTGCTGCTGCTTGATTTTAGTGAGACAGAGGAGCTGCTGCTACTTAAACTCAGTACGACAACAGAGCTAATCGCCGATAAACTAAGGGTGCTGTCACTTGACCTCGTTGCAACAATAAAGCTGCTGTTACTTGAACTTGCTAAGGCAATAGAGCTGCTCCTACTTGAAGTTAGTGAGACAGTAGAGCTCCTGCTACTTGAATTCGGTGCAACAATGAAACTGCTGCCACTTGATCTCAGTCCAACCAAGGAGCTGCTGCTACTTAAACTTGATATGACGCTAAGACTGCTGCTGCTTGATATTAATAAGATAGTAGAGCTGCTGCTGCTTGAACTCAGTGCATCAATGAAACTGCTGCTACTTGAATTCAGTGCAACGGAAGAGCTGCTGCTACTTGAACGTGGTATAACACTAGAGCTGCTGCTGCTTGATATTAGTGAGACAGAGGAGCTGCTGCGACTTAAAATCTGTACGACACTAGAGCTACTCAGTGTTAAACTATAGGTGCTGCCACTTGACCTCGGTGCAACAACAACGCCGCTGCTAATTGAACTTTCTAAGACACTAAAGCTGCTACTACTTGAGGTTAGTGAGAAAGTAGAGCTGCTGCTACTTGAACTTAGTGCAACGGGAGAGCTGCTGCTACTTGAACTTGGTATGACACTAGAGCTGCTGCTGCTTGATACTAGTGAGACAGTGGAGCTGGTGTGACTTAAAGTCAGTGCGACAGTAGAGCTACTTAATGATAAACTAGAGGGGCTTTCACTTGAACTCGGAGCAATAATATAGCCGCTGCTAATTAGAATTGGTAAGACACTAGAGCTGCTACCATTTGAAGTTAGTGAGACAGTAGAGCTGTTGCCACTTGAGCTTGATGCAGTAATGAAACTGCTATTAACTAAACTCAGTGGAAAAGGAGAGCTGCTGCTACTTGAGGTTAGTATGACACTAGAGCTGCTGCTGCTTGATATTAAAAAGACATTGGAGCTGCTGCTACTTGAAATCAGTGCGATTACAGAGCTACCTGAAGAGAAACTAAGGCTGCTGCCACTTGAACTCGGTGCAGAAATGGAGCCGCTGCTACTTGAACTTGGTAAGACATTAGAGCTGCTGCTACTTGAAATCGGGGCAACAATGAAGCTGCTACTGCTTGAACTCAGTGCAACAATAAAGCTGCTGCTAATTGAACTTGGTATGAGATTAGAGCTGCTGCTGTTTGATATTAGTAGGACAGTGGAGCTCCGGGTACTTGAAATGAGTGCAAAAATAGAGCTACTTGAAGAAAAACTAAAGCTGCTGGCACTTGACCTCAGTCCAAAAATGGAGGCGCTGCTACTTAAAGTTTGTGAGACACTAGAGCTGCTGCTACTTGAGGTTGATGAGACACTAGAGCTGCTATTACTTGAAGTTAGTGAGAAGGTAGAGCTGCTGCTACTTGAACTTGGTATGACACTAGAGCTGCTGCTGCTTGATTTTAGTGAGACAGTGGAGCTGCTGTGACTTAAAGTCAGTGCGACAGTAGAGCTAGTCAATGATAAACTAAAGATGCTGCCACTTGACCTCGGTGCAAGAAAAAACCCGCTGCTACTTGAACTTGCTAAGACACTAGAGCTGCTGCTACTTGAAGGTAGTGAGACAGAAGAACCGCTGCTACTTGATGTCGGTGCAACAATGAAACTGCTGCCACTTGAATTCGGTGCAACGGGGGAGCTGCTGCTACTTGAACTTGGTAAGACACTAAAGCTACTACTGTTTGATATTAGTAAGACAGTGGACCTGCTGCTACTTAAAGTCAGTGCGACAGTAGAGCTACTGAAGGATAAACTAAAGGTGCTGCCACTTGACCTCGGTGCAACAATAAAGCCGCTGCTATGTAAGCTTTCTAGGACACTAGAGCTGCTACTACTTGAAGTTAGTGAGACAGTAGTGCTTCTGCTACTTGAGGTCCGTCCAATAATGAAACTGCTGCTACTTGAACTCATTGCAACGGTAGAGCTGCTGTTACTTGAACTTGGTATGATACTAGAGCTGCTGCTGCTTGATATTAGTGAGACAGTGGAGCTGCTGCGACTTAAACTCAGAGCGACAGTAGAGCTACTCAATGATAAACTAAAGATGCTGCCACTTGACCTCGGTTCAAGAAAAAACTTGCTGCTACTTGAACTTGCAAAGACAGTAGAGCTGCTTCTAGTTGAGGTTAGTAAGACAGCAGAGCTGCTGCCACTTGAACTCGGTGTAACAATGAAACTGCTGCTACTTGAGCTCAGTCCAACGGGAGTGCTGCTGCTACTTGAACTTGTTATGACACTAGAACTGCTGCTGCTTGATATTGGTGAGACAGTGGAGCTGCTGCCACTTGAACTCCGTGCAACAGTGAAACTGCTGCTACTTGAACTCAGTGCAACGGGAGAGCTGCTGCTACTTGAACGTGGTATGATACTAGAGCTGCTACTGCTTGATATAAGTGAGTCAGTGGACCTGCTTTGACTTAAACTCAGTGCGACAGTAGAGCTACTCAATGATAAGCTAAAGGTGCCGCCAATTGACCTCGGTGCAACAACAAAGCCGCTGCTGCTTGAACTTTCTAAGACACTAGAGCTGGTATTACTTGAAGTTAGTGAGAAAGTAGAGCTGCTGCTACTTGAACTTGGTATGACACTAGAGCTGCTGCTGCTTGATTTTAGTGAGACAGTGGAGCTGCTGTGACTTAAACTCAGTGCGATAGTAGAGGTACTCAATGATAAACTAATGGTGCTGCCACTTGACCTCGGTGCAACAATAAGGCCGCTGCTACTTAAACTTTCTAAGACAGTAGAGCTGCTACTACTTGAAGTTCGTGAGACTGTAGAGCTTCTGCTACTTGAAGTCCGTGCAATAATGTAACTGCTGCTACTTGAACTGTGTGCAACGGGAGAGCTGCCGCTACTTGAACTTGGTATGATACGAGAGCTGCTGCTGCTTGAGGTTAGTAAGACAGCCGAGCTGCTGCCACTTGAACTCGGTGCAACAATGAAACTGCTGCTACTTGAACTCAGTCCAACGGGAGCGCTGCTGCTACTTGAACTTGTTATGACACTAGAACTGCTTCTGCTTGATATTGGTGATACAGTGGAGCTGCTGCCACTTAAACTCGGTGCAAGAATGAAGCTGCTGCTACTTGAGCCCAGTACAACGGGAGAGCTGCTGCTACTTGAACTTGGTATAACACTAGAGGTGCGGCTGCTTGATATTAGTGAGACAGTAAAGCTGCTGCTCATTAAACTCAGTGCGACGGTAGATCTAGTGAATGATAAACTAAAAGTGCTGCCACTTGACCTTTGTGCAGTAATAAAGCCACTGCTACTTGCACTTGCTAAGACACCAGAGCTGCTAGTAATTGAACTCGGTTCAACAATGAAACTGCTGCTACTTGAACTCTGTGGAAATGGAGAGCTGCTGCTGCTTGAACTTGGTATGACACTAGAGCTGGTGCTGCTTGATATCAGTGAGACAGTGGAGCTGCTGTGACTTAAAATCAGTGCGACAGTGGAGCTACTCAATGATAAACTAAAGGTGCTGCCATTTGAACTCGGAGCAATAATAAAGACGCTGCTACTCGACATTGCTAAGACACTAGAGCTGCGAGTACTTGAAGTTAGTGACACAGTAGAGCTGTTGCCACTTGAACTAGGTGGAATAGTGAAACTGCTATTACTTAAACTCAGTGCAACAGGAGAGCTACTGCTACTTGAGGTTAGTATGACACTAGAGTTGCTGATGCTTGATATTAGTAAGACAGTGGAGCTGTTGTTTCTAGAACTCAGTGCGATTATAGAGCTACTTGATGAGAAACTAAGGTTGCTGCCACTTGAACTCGGTGCAGAAATGGAGCCACTGCTACTTGAACTTGCTAAGAGAGTAGAGCTGCTGTTACTTGAACTCGGGGCAACAATGAAGCTGCTGCTACTTGAACTCAGTGCAACAGTAGAACTGCCACTAATTGAACTTGGTATAACATTAAAGCTGCTGCTGTTTGATATTAGTAGGACAGTGGAGCTCCTGCTACTTGAAGTTAGTGCAACAATAATGCTACTTAAGGAGAAACTAAAGTTGTTGCCACTTGACCTCGGTGCAAAATTGGAGGCGCTGCTACTTAACCTTTGTAAGACCCGAGAGGTGCTGCTACTTGAGGTTGGTGAGACAGTAGAGCTGCTGGTACTTGAACTCGGTGCAATGGAAGAGCTGCTGCTTCTTGAGCTTGGTATGATAGTAGAGCTGCTGCTGCTTGATATTAGTGAGAAAGTGGAGCTGCTGCGACTTAAACTAAGTGCGACAGTAGAGGTACTCAATGATAAACTAAAGGTGCTGTTACTTGACCTCGGTGCAACAAAAAAGCGGTTGCTACTTGAACTTGCTAAGACACTAGAGCTGCTGCTACTTGAAGGTAGTGAGACAGAAGAACTGCTGCTACTTGATCTCGGTGCAACAATGAAACTGCTGCCACTTGAACTCGGTGCAAAGGGAGGGCTACTGCTACTTGAACTTGGTAGGACACTAGAGCTACTACTGTTTGATATTAGTAAGACAGTGGACCTGCTGCTACTTAAACTCAGTGCGACAGTAGAGCTACTCAATGATAAACTAAAGGTGTTGCCACTTGATCTCGGTGCAACAATAATGCCGCTGCTACTTGAACTTTCTAAGACACTAAAGCTGGTATTACTTGAAGCTAGTGAGAAAGTAGAGCTGCTGCTACTTGAACTTGTTATGACACTAGAACTGCTGCTGCTTGATATTGGTGAGACAGTGGAGCTGCTGCCACTTGAACTCCGTGCAACAGTGAAACTGCTGCTACTTAAACTCAGTGCAACGGGAGAGCTGCTTCTACTTGAACGTGGTAGGATACTAGAGCTGCTGCTCCTTGATATTAGTGAGTCAGTGGAGCTGCTTTGACTTAAACTCAGTGCGACAGTAGAGCTACTCAATGATAAGCTAAAGGTGCCGCCAATTGACCTCGGTGCAACAACAAAGCCGCTGCTGCTTGAACTTTCTAAGACACTAGAGCTGGTATTACTTGAAGTTAGTGAGAAAGTAGAGCTGCTGCTACTTGAACTTGTTATGACACTAGAACTGCTGCTGCTTGATATTGGTGAGACAGTGGAGCTGCTGCCACTTGAACTCCGTGCAACAGTGAAACTGCTGCTACTTGAACTCAGTGCAACGGGAGAGCTGCTGCTACTTGAACGTGGTATGATACTAGAGCTGCTACTCCTTGATATAAGTGAGTCAGTGGAACTGCTTTGACTTAAACTCAGTGCGACAGTAGAGCTACTCAATGATAAGCTAAAGGTGCCGCCAATTGACCTCGGTGCAACAACAAAGCCGCTGCTGCTTGAACTTTCTAAGACACTAGAGCTGGTATTACTTGAAGTTAGTGAGAAAGTAGAGCTGCTGCTACTTGAACTT